CCGCGCGGGCGCGGATCCCACGCCGCGGCCGAGCCGGGGGGAGAAAAGGCTGGCTGTAAAGTACACGGGGGGTGGGACACAGCTGACCGGGGCCTGCAAGCCGGGGTCTTGCCGAGGTCCGCGTCCCCCGAGCAACTGTGCGCGTCCAGCGCTCTAACAGGGCGGTGGGTGCCTCAGTTTCCCCCCGGGACGGTTGGAAGCCAGATCCCTTTTCATTCAGCACCGCGGAGCATGTGGAAAAGCTGTTTTAAGCACTGGTGGAAGCAGAGTCCGAAAAGAGGTAGACTTCATAACTACAGGCGAGCACACAGGCTGTAATTTAAAACTGTCAACAAGCTAATCTTCAGTAATTGCCTTTTAAAGTGACTTTGCCTTCTTGAAACGTTTTATGTGATTTGATGAGAATTTCTTCTTAAAACTCAGCATTGTTACTTCAGACTCGACACACCTTATAAGTTTACTTACACTTTTAGTTCTCGACATGTGCCTTAGACGCTCAGGCACATGAGCTGTAGGAAAAAGCACGTCTCTCACAGGCAAGTAAGGTTAGACAAAACAAGGCTGGCAGGGAACATTGCTGTGCAAGCAACTGTAACTCGAAAAGTTATTTACAAACACAACTGTCTTTAAACGGGAGCGTATCCCGCTTCTGAACTGCTTTCAAGTGGCATATCTATGTATAGCAAAAAATCACGTAGCCGATCGGTACAGAATTTTAGAGAGATTGTGCGTGCTCCCCGTAGCGTGTTTGTTCATGTCTCATAAAGGCATAGGTGTCTGCAGGCACAACGTTGCTAATATTTGAAGCATTCTTATTGTCTTCATCGAAGTTACCGTTTTGTTGTTAGAATCAGAGAAGTCGAAAACCGATTGTACAAAACTGAACACCTTTGAATATTAGCCAGCCATGCTTTTAGGGGGGAAAAAAAAACAGTAGTGTTTTTATTTTTCCCTTGACTGGATCAAATTACATCTAGATAGCTATAGCTACATAATACACTGAAGAATAGCAGAATCACACGAATATTTTTAGCTCTTGATGTGGCAGTGCCCGTTGTTTTACATTTCTTGACTCTTTCCATGAGTTGCGAGGCTTGCTCCCCTTTTAAAGAATAGGCTAAGCATTAGTATTTTTAAATGTTCATCAAAAATTGACATAAATTCACCTGGCACCTCCACCTTCTAAAATAGACCCCTGCCTGCCGAGCTCTCGGAAACGGGGCTCTCATGAGATTCTCTGCCACGATTATGGTGCAGCGGATTTTGGCTTGTTTTGCTTTGATTGGAAGCATCAAACTGCTGAGTGCTGTTGCACGTTATTGTAGCCTCTGGCAAAACTGAGTTAGATCCAGCAAGCAAGAAGCAGACTCGAATTAAGATTAATTTTAAAAGTATTCTTTTATTAATTTTCGGGCCAAAAATCTGTTTTGGTGATTTGTCATGAAATAAGTACATAAAATCCTCCCCCTCCTTTCCTAGCACACGTACACTTTAGCGATCTCTCCCTTCCCTGTCAAAGCTCATACAGGTTCAAGCTTCTGTCATTAAAGGTTTTAGGGAGGGGGGTGGTTTGTTTTTGCAAATTAATTATCTCTGGAGTCAGAAATGTCAGTCCTGTCACTCCACCAGCGCATAAAGAAGAGGAGGCTGCAGGAGCTCTGATGGAGCTGACTGCTTGAATGGCCTTTGAAAGAGGGTTCATCACCACCACCCCCAACCGCCTCCCCTTAACCCACCCGCTTAAATTCATAGCCTCTGCAACTCCCTGCCTCCTACTTATGGGGATCCTGTTCCTTCCTTCCCCTTCCCTTACAGCAGAACCTATCTCTGCCAGACAGCCAGCTCTGCGACCCCACGTCCACAAGCAGCCCGAGAAGACCACCCGAGTCCGGACTGTCCTTAATGAAAAACAGCTTCACACCTTGAGGACCTGCTACGCTGCCAACCCCAGACCCGATGCCCTCATGAAAGAGCAACTGGTAGAAATGACTGGTCTCAGCCCGAGGGTCATCAGGGTTTGGTTTCAAAACAAGCGATGCAAGGACAAAAAAAGGAGCATTATGATGAAGCAGCTTCAGCAACAGCAACCCAATGACAAAACTGTAAGTGGCTTCAGCCTCTGACCTGTACGCAGCCTTCCTTCCCGAAGGAGAAACGCATAGGCTAAGTCCAGCCTGGTCAGCCTTTGGGGGCTGGTTTGACGCTTTTGATTTTGTGGGAGCTCCGCTAAAACAAACAAAATAATACAGCTTAAATATTATCTGTTCGTTCTGTTATCAGTGCAAGTAAAACAGACCACAGCGAGAAGCCGATATAGGTGGCTCAAGCGAGCACATGTCTTTTTGCGAGGCTGAGGAGTTGGTGTGGATTAGACTAACTTCTCTGCAGCATGAACTGTGCCCTGCAGAGCTTATGGGATGTAATAAGTCTAGCCTTGTATAATATTTATATTGCAAATGCGAAGGACTCCTTGAGAGGAAAAAGATGCATTCGCTCTCTTCAATGGTTTTACACAGGAGTAAACCCAGAAGTAAAACCCAGGAGTAAAAGTGAAATCTGATGTATTTTCTTAGCACTTTATATACTGTAATTTGTATGTATGTGTCTGCCAGTGCCTGTACTGTAGAAAAAGAGGAATTTGATAGAAAGGTTTGGAATTGTTATCGTGCATACAGATTATTTAATATATAGTTCTTGCATAGAAATATACGGAGTTCTTGTCTGTGGGTTTTTGCGCGTGATGCAAATAAGCAGAAAGCGCTGGATTCAGCATAGCAAACTGGCTGTCTCCATTTTAAAACAACTTTTTCTTTTCTGTTGTTTTTAGCCCACTTGAAGAAGAGTCTGTTATTCTCCCTCTGTATATTGACTGACCTGAGAATGACTATTAATTCATAAGGCTGCCTAGTTAAGTGGAATTTAAGGAGTTTCATTTTACCCTGTTGGAATGCAATAAAACATGATGTTATTAACTCGCCTGAACAATCTATTCGTCGAGGCTTGGAGTTTTTTTGTACACAGTGGCTGTAACACAGGGCATACTGGGAGGGCTGGGGTTTTCTTTTTGCTTGTGTTTTTCTTTTTTGAAAGAGAGCGGTACTAACGCACCCCAGGTTTACCGTGCGTCGGATATATGATCCGGTTAAGGTCACGCAGAACAAAACCAGCCTGGATGCAAGATAGAAAGGCGGCATGATTAACCATTTCTTGTGCCGAGCCGTGCATCGGCAGCCAAGATAAGAGTGCTCGCTTTAAGATTTTTTTTTTCTTTTTTATGCCTTGAGAAAAATACGAGGATTAAAGGGAAAGAAAGTAAACTTCCACAGTGATAAATGCAGCGGGTAGAAATAGGCTGACCTGGAGCAGAATAGAGTAAGACATTCACAGCAGATTAACAAAGCAAATACAAGCGACTGTATAGATAAGATAGAAAGCAGTTTATTGACTCAGCGTTTATATACAATAAAGTTAACCAAGCTCATTAACATCTTTTGCTGGGCTGTTTACAGAATATCCAAGGGATGACAGGAACTCCGATGGTGGCTGCTAGTCCTGAGAGACATGATGGTGGTTTACAGGCGAACCCAGTGGAGGTGCAGAGTTACCAGCCGCCTTGGAAAGTACTGAGTGACTTCGCATTGCAGAGTGACATAGATCAACCTGCTTTTCAGCAACTAGTAAGTGTCAGTTCCCAGCCTGAATAGGCCAGTGTCTACCCGGGGGCAGAGCCACTGGGGATTCTCTAAAGCTGATGGATGCCCTCAGAGAGATGAAGCAATTCAGACTAGCCGAGTTTTCCTGAAAGTACGAGGTGGGCATTATGACAGCGCAACAAATGCAACTGATTTAGCAGGGCTTGATGCAAAAGCTACCGTAGTCAACAGCAATGTTCTTGTTGATTTTAGAGGGATCTGGATAAGGCCTAGCCCAAGTCTGAAACTAATTCAGCTTACATACTCCTGAAAACCGAAAGCACCTCTACCCAGAGAACAAAAACATTCTTCATGTGTCATTTAATTTTATGTATATTTATGTCCAATTTCTAAAATTCGACTCCCCTCCTCTCCCCCCACCAATTTCAGCTATAAAATGTAGGATGGATTTTAAATATGTGATTGCAATGTCAGCCTGTATCCTATAGCCTATGTTCTTGCTTTCTCACAAAAACATGAACAGCTTAATTAAATCGTTGAAATCCTTGTTTTACGCATGTACCTCTGGATATAACTTTGTGTAGATATAGGTACAGATATATACACATACATAGGTATATATATGTAAACATAAATATATACATATATTTTATATATATATCTGACATATATCTGTTGTGCTTCGGAAAGGGAATTGTTAGTACATAGTCACGTGCAAAAGCCAAACAATATGATAAATTGCCTTAAGCCAAAAGAAAACAGACATTTTAGAATAAATTCTGTTCTTAACTCACTTCCTTATGCCTACGTCATTTGGCAGCTCATATGGGACCATATCATCTGCAATACTTAGGCCCAACAAGGTGAATTAAGGACAGAAGTTCAACCTTAACTCAATTTCCTGGCCTAAGTGTGTTAAAACCAGATCTTTAAAATAATAAGGTACGTTGTGTATGGTTTTTCAGTGATTCCAAATAATAATTAATGATGCAACATTAATATTTAGACCCTTTTTGATTGGTTGGGCATTTTTCGTCAACATGAATTGATGAAAAATAAAGGTTTGTAACCACATCAACAAATGTTTTCAGATCGTTTCAGCTTAGTATCCCACTCTTCTCCAGGATTCTTTTTTTGCCTAGTTGCAGGCTGCCGAGCACTCCCTCTGGCACGCCGCCGTGCTCACTTGCATGCCCTGGAGCACAGCAGCAGGACTGCTTGCAGCATCTTTCCTCTAGAGCAGCCGCTAGTTTTCCTGCTTTAATCAAGCTGTCAAGCAGACTCAAGAAAAATTGATCTCCTTTGGCTACCTTACTTTTTGTGCCTTAACAGAACAGGAGACTTCAAAAGCTTTGATGCGATGTTTTCTTAAAAAGTAGCTCTAAAAGCAGAAATGAAAGTGGGTATCCCAAATACACACACACACATATGGATAGATAGATGGATATTACTGTATTTTTGGCCTCATGCAGACAAATAGTTAAAGAATTGTGGACAGAACAGATAGATCAGCGACTATTCAAGGCACTGTTTGCACGTCTCTAATCTGGAAAGGGCCTTAATCACTGGATCGGCCAGCTAAATAGGTGCCAAGGAATTGTGTGTGGCTTAGCCAGGCTCCACCCTTCAAATCTCTCTTCCCAAGGCTGAGCCTGAACTAATGGGAGCTGCGGGGCATATTATAGGATGGAGAAGCATCACCTTTTATTATCCAACTAACTCTTCTTAGACAGAGATGCCACCCCTTCCAAGGAGCACTTGGACCACAAGGATGGCTTGTTTAAAGGAAGGTATCTTCTGCTCCTGGATATTTGTTCCAGGTTTATTTTAGTATGTGCACAAAAGGGGAAAAAGTAACCTTGGAGTCTAGTGTCAGAAAACGCATGATGAGCTCCTAAATAATTGACTAGAACATCCTGTTGGGATCGCCACTCTTGCAAGATGTGGAAGAAGGCCTCATTAAAATGGTTGTTTGTTTATTTGCTTGATTTTTATTTTTTTCCTTTTTTCTTTCTTTTTTTTTCCTTATCTGCTTTCTTCGGTTATTTGACCGAAGGCCTGAAGAAGATTCCAGTGAAGTCAGTGGGGAAACTAAACAAAGCAACAAACAGTCACACAGCCTCCTGTTGAGATGCATGAGGCCATTCGGCTGCATGCCTGTATATTTATTTTTTGCATTCTTTTTTACCTCGACTGCTATTTTTCTCTAATTGTTACAGTAGTAACAATTCTTTTTCTTATTTTTTCTTCCTTTTTTTTTTGGCAGGTTAATTTTTCAGAAGGAGGACCTGGTTCCAATTCTACTGGAAGTGAAGTAGCATCAATGTCCTCTCAGCTCCCAGATACACCCAACAGCATGGTAGCCAGTCCTATTGAGGCATGAGGAACATTCACTCAGATTTCTTTTGTTGTTGTTTCTGCCCTTACCCTCACCCCTACTGGAGAGAGTGGGAAAGTGATCACGCTGGGACTCCAAAATTTAGGGGGAAAATTATTTAACAGCCCTGTAATGAACCTAGCAAAGAACCGCTCCATGAAATGAACGGAGTCTTGTTTGAAACGACAAGGTAATATGGTAGCAACACTGTGAAGACAATCATGGGATCTTACTAGAATAAATATAAAACAAAACCCCGCGCTATTCAATGATCAGAGGAGGATCGAAAAGACGTTTTCAAAACGTAGAGGATTTGTACTCGTGGATCTCAAAAAAAAAAAAAAAGTGAATAAATTCTTATCATTTGACTGCACATCTTAGAGAGAAACCAAGGTAGAGGGACTTTCCATCTAGGCCATCCTAACCCGAATGGTGCTGTTTCTATATTGGTCATTGCCTTGCCAAAAGGAGCTCCAGTAGGTTTTCCATCATCAGGAAAGAGACAATTTAGCCCCGCTTTGTTGAAAGATTCATTGCAGGAAGGTGGAGCTGCATTGGTTTGCAATTTTTTTTTTTAGTTGATTCTTAACAAGGTGTTGTTTCCTGGGTCTCTTACAACATGTACTGTAGCGGGGGTTTGATTTTTGTTTGGTTGAGATCCATCCTCTATCAAGTCTTGAAGGGATTAAAAAAAAGGTTTTTGAATTCTTCTTTAAAAACCAATTTATAAAAGCATTGCAACAAGGTATACCTCTATTTTGCCACAAAGCGTCTCGGGATTGTGTTTGAAATGTGTCCGTCCAAGAACCCTCCCCCAAAGACGTGTATAGTCATTGGTTAAAAAGACTGTTTTTCTCTCTTTATCTCTCTCTCTCTCTCTCTGTCTCTCTCTCTCTCTCTCCCTAGAAATAAAGAGAAAAAAAGAAAAAAAGAAAAAACCCACCGTATTTGTTTGCTCTTGCATTGCAAAATTATAAAGTAATTTATTATTTATTATTGGAAGACTTGCCACTTTTCATGTCATTTGACTCTATTTTTTTGTTTGCTGAAGTAAAAGAAAAAAGAAAAAAAGAAAAAAAAAGGAAAGGTTGTACCGTGGTCTTTGAATTATATGTCTAATTCTATGTGGTTTTTGTCCTTTTTTTCTTAAATATTATGTGAAATAAAAGCGCCATATGTAGAATTATTATATCTTCAGGACTATTTCACTAAATAAGCGTTTGGAATAGAGAAAATAATAATAATATTATTATTAAATAATGAACAAAGTTCCCTTTTTTAAATATTTACAAGTTAGCAGCTACAATACCTGAAATAAAATATTGCATGCAAAGTAGGTCGTAATTGAATAAAATCAGTGTGATATTTTATTGCAAGTATTAACGACCAGCTTGTAAATTTCAGTTTCAACAACTATATCAGGGCTAGTTTGATGCCTTAGCTTTCAATTGATAACATTAGAAGCTCTCTTCCCCCCCTCCCCTCATCCCTTGCCCTTAAAAGTAATATTACTCTAGGCATGATCTGACATAATGTTAAGACATCTAAAGAACTGAGAGCTCAGGCTTTTTGCTGAGTTCTATTATTTTTTAAAAATAATAATAAAAAGAAAGTGCTGTATACCAAAGCCTCGTTGTTGAGATTGTTGAAGTGACCTGTACTTTAAGTATAAGCTCCTGATAAAAGGGACGCTTTTTGCTTAACAAGTCAAGTATGACCATTATTTATCAGTGTCTGCTGTCAAAACGATTGAAAAATGCTGCAGGAGGAATAGGGTTGAGGGGATATTGCTGTGAAATTGCACGATTGGTGTTCCTTATTTTCTGTCGACTTCCCTCTCTTCACTCCCTCTTTTCTTCCTTTTTTAATTTGCGGGGGAGGGGGTGGTGAAAGCTAGAAACGTGGGCGATTTCTCGGGGAAAAGTAAAGGAAAAAAAAAACACAGAAAAGGGTTGTTTTTTCCTCCAAACCAAGTTTTCCCTAGTGCTCCAGGCCAGCACAAGACAAAGGCTCCCTTTAAAAAAATCCTTAACAACTGGAATATACAGAGATTTTTAGTCTGACAAAGACAAGTTGGTTTGCATGACAGTTACTCCAAAGCCTAATGTTTTCTTAACATAACCTTCTTTTTCCTCCCTCCTCACCATCTCAGCCCACCCTGAGCAAGCTCAGCTATAGAGACAAACCATTTCGACAGTAGAGAGAAAATAAAAAAGGGTAAAAGTCTAATACAAGGATTTCAATCATCCTGATTAGAAACTGGATTCATTTTGTATGCTCAAGTGTAATACATTTTTGAGTACTTGATAAATATTTAAATAAATATGAAATCTACCTTAAACTGTGTGATCAGTAACCCTTGTGTTTTCATGCAGGCTCCGAGGCTCGGCACGACGCCGCGGGGGGCGGGAGGGCGCGGGGTGGCATTTCTGCCCCGTGCGCTAACCTGTGAGTTGTCCGAGCCGTCCGCGCTGGTGGGGGGAAAGGGGGCTCAGGGGCCGAGCCCCACACTGAGGGGGCGGCTCTCTGCGGAAACCCCGTAAAGCCGGGGCAGAGCCGGGGCCTTTGCCTTCCGCAGCGCGGTGGCTACCGCAGGGAGGGCGCGGGGCGGCGCGGTCGCGCGCCGGGAATCTGCGC